AATTACAAATATTCTTTTATTAGAATTTTTTATTTAACAAAATTAATTAAAAAAATAAAATTTATAATTACTCTCCTATACAATAATAAAATTATCTAAATTAATAATTGAAACATATTTTTAACATTATTAAATACTGTTAATTGACTTGATGATTTAAGAAATGGGCGGTTTATTATGAAATTAGAAACCTTAAGAGGTGAAATGTAATTTTCAAAATCGCAGGGGCGATTCGTATTTTAATCAAATCTTAGAGGGTATATTTGTAATTTACCTTATAATTATTATGGTGCTGATTGATAAACCTAAAAATTAAAAATTAAGTATTGAAAATTGAATGGTGAATTTAATAAGTTAAAAAGTTTTTTGATAAAAATTTAAGTGTTAAACTAAAAACAAATTATTTGATAGGTAAAAGATTAAATTTGAAATTTATTATTTTTAAATTTTATATTGTAATGGTAGTGGTAGTGGTAGTGGTAGTGGTGGTGGTGTGATGATGGTAGTGGTAATGGTAGCAGTAGCGATGGTGGTAGTAGTAGTGGTAGTGCTGATAGCAGCATAGTGATGGTGGTAGTGGTAGCGATGGTGGTGGTGGTGGTGGTGACAGTAGCATAGTGAGGGTGGTAGCGGTAGTGATCGTCATGGTGGTGGTGATGGCGGCAACATGGTGGTGGCGGTGATAGTAGTGGCAGCGGCGGAGATAGCATGATGGTGGTGGTGGTAGTGAGTTTATAATAGTGTATATTGATACTTATATTTAATATTTATAAATTTAGTTAGAATTAAGTAAATTTTATATGATTTAAATTTTTTTTAAAATTTTAGCTTATATTTTAAGAGGTACTTAAATTTTTGAATGATATCAATTGTAGTTATCAAATAGATTTAATTGATTATTACTTAATATATTCACTTTTAAGTACTGAATCATATTGTCAAACACACTTTAAAATATTAACTTTTTGTCTAGAAAATGAAAATTAAATTATAATATTATAATAATGAAAATTAAATAATTAAATTAGTAAAAGACAAAAGAGTGTGTATGACATTAAATAAGAATGTTATATTTAATATTTCTTACTGAATTAGGTTTTGTTTGAGAGCATTTTAAGGTGGTGTTTGGCAAGTGGTTTTGGGGTTAAAATAGTCACAAAAAATATAATAGGCTATTTTAGTCATAACAAACAAAACATCACATTCAACCCATAATCATTACACTCTTCTCTCACAAAAAAAGCCAAAAAAGTCAAAAAGTCAAAAAGTCCTTCCCAAACCAAGCTTTTTAGTCTGGGCTAAAATAGCCAAAAAATTAACCCACTTCCCAAACGGAGGCTAAGAAATTTTGTTTTTTGTTTTTTGTTTTTTCAAACAAAAAAAAGTGTAAAGTATTTCAAAAAAGGAGGCAATGGGGCTGTTTGGTATGAGTCTGGATCGTCTACTGTGGTTTCTTACGGTAGCCTCTGTGGCGGTTCAAAATGACGTCGTTCTGGATTTTTTTTTTTTAGCCTCTTTTTCTTCTATCTTAGCTCTCAAATCAAAGAGACAAAGGGGGTGTTTGGTGGAGCTTTTTTAAGCCAACTTATGACTTCTGGCTTTTAAAAAGTTATTTTCGACTGTTTGGTTAAACTTATTTCAAACAGCTTCTGATTCTAACAACTTATTTTAAGCCAAAAAAGCTGATTCTGAGAAGCTGCTCACCCCTTGCTTCTGATTATCAGCTTCTGCTGTAGACATAGTAATTCACGGTTATACTCTTAGATTTTTTTATTTTTTATTTTTTAAAAAATAGAAAAAGACCTAAATGGACTATTAAATATTATTATTATTTTTTATGAAAAATATAGACAAATAGTGAATAATAAAAAATAAAAATTAATTGAAAAAGCTACTTCACAGCTTATTTAACAAACACTACTCAGCAACTTAAATCTATAATCCGACAGCTATACCAAACAGATTAATAGCTTCTGATTAAAGTCATAATCTATAATCTGTTAAGCTATAATCTATAATCCATTTTAACAGCTACACCAAACAGCACCAAAGATGGATGACAATGGCAATGATGGCACAGCGACAACGACAACGACAACAACAACGGCCATCTCCACCCTCGCCCGCTCTTTCCCAACCCCTCCCAATGCCACCGCCTCCAGGTGCCACCGCCATCCACACCTTTTTGTGTCTAGGCCACTATATTACACATCCTCCTTGCAAAAAAGAGGTAACATCAGATTTCTTCCCCAAATCTGGACGGTTCTATTATGCTAATAGATTCTACGAAGAACACCAGCCCCATTTCTTGGAGGCTTATTTTCTTTGCAAGAAAGACCCTTTATAGAAAAGTTGAATTTTTTGGAAAAATTTTGTTTAATCACGGAAAATTCTATATATGTTTGGAGAAAGACCAATTCTTTTTGCTCTGCAAAATATGGTCTTACTAATTGGAGATGGGTTTAGGATAGAATCGAAAAAGAATGAGATTTTGCTATTTTATTTTCTGTTCACTGTGTTTAAGGGAAGAAAAAGGGCCAATTTGAGGGAAGCACAAGAGAAAGAAGAAAAGACCCATTTTGAGGATTTTTGTTTTTTTTAATTTTTTATTTTCATGTAAATAAATGTAAATGCTTATATGAGGCTTTGTTTTTGTGGGGTGAAGAGAGGCCGGAGTTTGTGGTCAGCTTCCATGTCTGCAAGAAAGGCAAGAGCATCGTCTTCTTCAATGAAACAAGGCCTTCTTGTGGCTGTAGAGTCCATGAATGTGCTCTAATTGATGTGGGTTTTGCTTAGAGAGAGAGAGAGAGAGAGAGAGAGAGATGATGACTGAAACAGGGCCTTCTTGTGGTTGCTTTATTTCTTCTCCCTCCTCTCTGGTTCTGATCTGTTTTTTTTTTTTTTTTTTTTGAAAATTTCCCCCAAAATGACGTCGTTTTAGGGCACTGCAGGACGTGCCGTAGGAAAGAACGACAGAGGATCCGGACTCGTTTGGTATAGATTACAAGAAGTGATTACAATTTTTTTGAATTTAAGAGTTTGTCTTACATTATTCGGTGCAATTTCTATTTATAACTTATTAAACACAAATAACTTAAATAAGTTGAAAAAATTGATTATTTACAAACTGGAAAGGAATGCTTTTAGTTTCTGCTTTCTGATTCTTAGATTTTAGCTTAAAAAAACTCTACTAAACAGGCCCAATATATCGAGTCACTCCATCTGTCCCAAAATATTTGTCTCTTTTGAAGAATTTAACCTTTTTTGTAATACAATTATTGTATTTCAAAAGTATTAAATTTATAAAACTACCCTTTAACTTTTTCTTGAGAAGCTCAATTATTATAATTAATAAATTTAAAATAAAGTTAAAATAAGAAATTCATATTATTTTAGTCATTGATTTTTTTAAAAATAACTAATATTTTAGGATAATAAAAAATAAAATAAGAGACTAGTATTTTAAGATGGAGAAAGTATATTGAAAATACTTTTATTTTTGTACTCTCTCAAGTTTAAAAGACTGAGCATGAAAGAGTGAAAGCATATTTGCATGGCTGAAGATCTTCTAATTTCCCCCATAAAAAACAGATATTCTAATTTCATTTTATTGGGTGTAAACTACTCATTAGTATTAAATTATGTAAAAAATTAAAATTAAAAAATCCCAAAATATAATTAAATAGCTTCTCAAAGATTTTTTAAAAAATGATTCAAGACTCAGCATCATGCATTACTTTGTAGGAGTAGATAGAGACTAAATAATTGAATTAGTGAGAGATGAAAATTATGTTTAATTTAATTTATAAATTTTGAGTAGTGCTATACATAATTTAATTTAATTTGTTACCTGATTTGTTTTAATCACAAAAAAAAAAAAAAAAATTATGAGATCCATATTACTTATTGTTTTGAGTAGCGTTATACATAAACATATTTTTTACCTAATTTTTTTTAATTTTTTATTGCTGGACACAAAAATAATTTATATTATTCACTATTTGGTGTCTAACAATTAAAAAAAATATTTATTAAGATGAACTCAAAATTTATTCCATACACATACACCATAGATATTGATAATATATATATATATATATCATATGATAATATTAGTTGTATGAGAATAATACAGCTCATGTCAAAACATGTCACACAAAGCAACCAAAATTCGCCACACTTTCTCTCAATGTCCCACTCCCATTCTCAAATAGGTCCAAAATTCGCCATACTTTCTCTCATTCTCACCAAGCAACCACGCTTTATAGAGTGCACCCCCCAAAAAAACAAAAAATTGGCCCCCACAGAACCTCCCATGCACCGCACTACGCAAATACCAAAAATAACCACGTACAATATGTTTGGTTGATTAATTTAGATAAAAATTTAGAAATTTATTAACCAAACACAACTTCATCAGCCTAACTTGGATTTGTAAACTTCTTCCACTTGTACGGGCAATACAACGTAAGTTCCTACCAAACCCATGACCCAACAGTTATCCACGTCTCTCAACTTTACCAGCCTAACTTGGATTTGTAAAGTTCTTCCACCTGTACGGCCGCTACAACGTAGGTTCCTACCAAACCAATAGCCAACAGTTATCCATGTCTCTCGCACTTAAAAAAATGTTTAGTGGGTTGAAATTTTATTATTCGAATGGGTAAAAATGATATCGTTTTATATTAAAAAAGTTGTTTTGAAATATTCGAGCCATTCAAATAATGAAATTTCGAATCACCTGACATTGTTGCTCGCTCTTCATCTTTGTCTTCGGTTTAAAAAAAAATAAAAAATGTTGGGATCTCACGAAGGAAGATTCTCACGGTGCCCACTAATGTATTTAGGTGTTGTTTGGCAAGTTGGTTTGTGGCTAAAATAACCACAAAAGACAAAATAAGTTATTTTAGCTGCAACAAACAAAACATTACCTTCAACCCATAATCATTATACTTTTCTCTCATAAAAAAAAGTCAAAAAAATTAAAAAGCCAAAAATCCTTTCTAAATCAAATTTTTTAGCCCAAACTAAAATAGTCAAAAAAATTAAAAAAGTCAAAAAACGAACCCACTTCCCAAACGGAAGCTTACTATTGGTGTGCAATTTTTTTAAAGATTATATCTCCAGTAACATAAATGGCTCAAATTAGTTTAGAGGAGGTGTTTTGTGAGGTCTCTATCGAATGATCATTTTGTCCTCATCCCACGTGTCATTTCTACCGTACATTTAATGAGCCCCAGCAGCTTTACCGAGTTGTGGCGGCGACAGCGGCGGCGGAGATGGAAGCCGGGGTGGCGATGGCGGCCATGAAATCTTGTTGGTCGTCTTTTTCGTGGAGGAACCGGTCCACGATGATGGTGCTCGGCTCCGCCACCAGCCTCTCCCACGCCTCGGCTGCGGCGGCGGCGCCTCGCCTGAGGAACACCTCCGTGGCGTCGAGGCGGTGGAGCATGCTCCATTCTGGACCCAGACCCAGGCCCAAACCCAAATCCAAACCCAAACCCAAACCCAGTTGGGTTTGGAGGCTCAAAATGTTCTTCCGCTGACGACAAGCCAAGTCGCGAGTGTTGGACTTGATTTCTTCAATGGCTTGTTTAAGTAGGCGAGCTCTGGTCTGGCTATCGACATTCGGGTCGGATTCGGATCGTAGAAACCGATCCATTTCTGGAACTCCGATAGCTCGTCTGATTCCAACTTTATAATCAGCATTCGGGTCAAACATTGCTCGAACCTCGTCTACCAGTCCCGCTTCCACCATCCGATCAACCCGCTCCGAGACAAAAGAGTGAAGCACGCGTAATTTTACATCAACCCATAAAAAGCAACAATCATATTTCGACCGGAATTCAAAATCATCGCTGACCAAAGCCTTGATGTAGGAATTGGACCCACCCGCGATGATTGGAAGCCCGTTCCGCCGTACGATCGAATCGCAAGCGTGCAATGCCAGGTGTCGAAAATCGGTGGCGTTGAAGTCCGCGTTTGGATCCACAATCCCGAGTAAATGATGTGGCACGCTGCGGCACTCTTCGTCGGTTACTTTGTTGGTGGCTATATCAAGCCCTTTGTAGACTTGCATTTTGTCCGAGTTTATAATCTCCGCGGGTAAACGGGTCGCCAAGTCGATTGCAAGTCTTGATTTTCCTGTCCCAGTTGCACCAATCACTACAACCACCTTCTCTTTCTTCCGTTGCCGGAGGATGAACGGATCATTAATTCCTCCGGCCGGAAAATTTACAAGGGGTTGTGCCACTTGTTTGCAAGCAGGTGAGAATGAAATTCTCATAATAAATGCAAAAACCTGCTGACAGATTGTGAAAAAGCAAATATAAGAACACAAAGTGAACTTTTCATAGAAACTCCAAGGAGATGTACAAAGAAATGATAGTATTAATGAGGCATATACAAAATACTTAAACATACCTTAAATATCACGGATGCAACAAGGTGGCCAAGAATTTTGTTTGGAAATTTTGGGAAAGTGTGTGTAAATATGTGAATCAAACAAAGGTAGTACTAAATGGTTTTTTCCTTCTTGGTATGTATGTATATGGGAAAGATAATAATTATGTTTTCTTCTCTAATATATAAAGACAGTTGGGATTGGGTGCCCAAGAGCATCTCCAACAGTAGTAGGCATTTTACCTATCTAAGTATTACTATAAAGTATATATTTTATTTTGCCTATCAACTATTTTATGTTTTTACTCCAATCATACTCTTTATTTTAGCTATTAATCCAAATACTATTAATTTTATAGAATGCCACGTCAACAACAAAGATGGAGGGAAATGATCCTAATGATTGAATACATTTTGCCTAGCGTTGAAGGCTAGCTACATGTAGCTAGTAAATTTTAGTTGAGCCAAAATACCTAATCATATGCCTAGTGCGTTGGAATTGAAAAAAGTGAATCACACTAGGCATTTTAACTAACAAGTATTATATGCCTAGTGCATTGGAGATGCTCTAAGGAGTAGAAAATGAGAATGATAGGTCAAGAATATGGGTTGGTTTGGGGTACACTGACTGGTTGTCTGGAATGATTTAAATAAGTGAATTTTTTATCTTTTTATGAAAAATTATGTAAAAAAATAGAAAGATGATGTGATGAAAAAAAGATAAAAAGATTGATTATTTTGTGTATGCCAAACTTGGCCTAAATAATACAAAAAGTCAAAAAAATTACTATCCTATTTAAATCACATCATCTCTCTAACACATCACATCAAACTTAATCAAAATCCAACCTATATAAATCGATAAATCAAAAAATATATTTTTTTAAAACATCTCAAACTAACCTAAGCTCAATCTCAACTCCACACAAGCCATTAGAGTGGGCTGGGGGTATTTATGGAGGTGGAGAAAATGCATAATATGCTGTTCCATCAATCACTCAGGTCAGGTCAAATCATATAAGCATGTTTGGCAATATTTTATTGTTAATTTTTTTAAAATTTTAAAAGCAGCCTAGTTCTTATTTATTATTTACTTTGAAAATTGTCAAAATATATATATATATATATATATTAACACAAAATAATTATAATATCATAAAAGTACAAATAATTTGTGTAATTTCATATATTACAATTATTTTGAATTTATACCTTCTTTTTTTTTTTTTGGTTGCAATTCCTCCCCCCTCTCCTCCCTTTTTTATATAGTTAATTCAAATTGTTTTGAGGTAATTAAATATTAACAAATATCACTTTATTTCTGAATCAAAATATATGAATTCATAAATTACAATAAATAATATTTGTTTATAGTTGATGAGATCTTAATGTAATTAACTTAAAAATATATAATTAAGCTAAAATATTTTCAAATTTTAAGCTAAAAAAATATTTTAAAAACATGCAAATTATACCCGTAGTCTTTACTATTTGTCTCTTATATTAATTTTGTTATTAGAATTTTAATTGTATTAATTTTACCATTTATTTTTTCACATTATATCAATTTAGTACTCGTTTGGGATAGGTTTTTTAGCCTGTCTTTTTTTGTTGTTTGGCTATTTTAGTCTGATTAAAAAAGTTATGTTTGGGATGATTTTTATTTATTTATTTTTGTAATTGAATTGATGGTTATAATAAAAAAATAATAATTATAATTTAAATGTGATATTTTATCATATTAATTATTTTAGCTTTTTTTTGTCTTTATTAACTATTTTAACTAAAAAGTTGCATCCCAAACGAGCCATTGCCTTTAGACAAACTAAAATAAAAGAAAACAAGTCAACGTCAAATTTAAAATTATTTATTTCCTTTTGAATAGATTATTTTGTCCAATTTTTTAATAAATTTTATCAATTAAACAAAATTAACACAATATAAAATGCTAAAAGGCAAAATTAATAAAATTAAAATTACAAAAATTATATTAATATAGACAAATTATGGAGATTACAAGTATAGCTTTGGCAAAAGAAAGTTGTAGTTAGGAGTGTAAAAATAACCCACGACTTGGGGTGGGGGCCAGTCTGTTTGGGTCCGAGCCCAGCCCGAGACCTTGCGCATGGGCCTAGCCTGTCATTTTAAAGTTCGGCTTGGTTCGTGGCTCGACCCATTAGCCCGCGTGAAGCCTGACCCGAAGCCCAGTCCACTTGATGCCCAATGCATTTTCTAGTGAAAAATAATAAAATTTTGATAGAAAAAATATAAAAAAAAAAAACAGAAAAATATATTCAGACCCTCCCGAATGCCCCTAGGACTAGGCTTGGGTTTGGGCCTAATTTTCTAACCTGTAGCCGGGATTGGCCCGATCTAAATTTTGATAAAAACTCATAAAACTCGACATAAGCCGGACCTGACCAGGTCAAATTTACACCCTTAGTTAAAGCAAACAAACCATCAAAGCAGTTTCCATTATTTCTTGAACACAGCCAATAATTATGACAAAGCATTTCATGTATAATCATTTGACATTGGTCCTACAAAAATAAATTATGATTGGTATGTTGATGTCCAATGATGATTAAAATTAGACAAAACGAGGACACGAGTTTGCTTTTTATTAGGACCAAGAAAATTCTCTTGGGACCATATTCTTGATTAACTTTCTTTTAAATTCAATAAGGTTGCTAAATGATACCATGGGCCACCATTTTAATGTCTTTATTTAAGGGCAATACATATTTAATTAGTAATAATTAATATGTATTAGTCAACAAAAAATAGGATTCAATGACTTTTCCCTCCATTTTGCATTCCAACTCTCTGTTCCATTCTTTTTATTATTGTCATGTTGTTATAATTTGAATTTAATGCAATTGACTTATTTTTTAATAATTATTATTTTTTTAAAAGTTAGTTTCCCATTTAAATTTTTAAAAAAATAATAATTATTAAAAATGAGGATAGAGAATTTCAAGCCGTTGGGCTCCTAATAGGAATCTCCTCTAATTAACTTCCATTTGTTTGTTTTGTAATGGTGTACTTTTTTTTCTTGATTTGGTTTAATTAAGTTTGTCCATTAGCACTTGTTGGGCAATTGTTTTAAAAAAATAAAATAAAATAGGGGCAAAAACGATTTTGGCCAGATATTGGCGGGGTTGTGATAGTTTGATTATTATGAAAAGATGTGTTAATAGTGACGCTTATTGAGAATATCGAAAATTTTAGAGCTTCATATTAGAGAAATTATTCGATACTCTTGATGTAAGAACGCTTTAGTGTTGAAAAACACCTTGCTTAAAATTTAGTTTAACATGAAGTTACTAATAATAATTTATTAGACAATGAATATACAACAATTGATAAAATTTGTCTAAATTGAATAACTTTGATTTTAAAGTTGAGGGGGGAAAATCTTCTGACTTAAATTTTTTTGCAAACTCAAAAATAATGAGATATGTTAGTCCATTTGATCTAAAAAGTCTTACACGTTATACTACCGTGAAAGTGTGACATGTTTTTATTGACTTGAAGATTATTTCAAGGATACCAAATAATTTTACCAAATTTTGATGACTCATAATTGGTGTTCTATGATGCAATAGTTTGGTGGCTAAATAGAATTTTATTGAATAAAAGGTTCAATAACTAGAAAATATAACAAATAGGGAAAAAAAAATTCTTGAAAAAAGTTCCTTTTTCTATTTTTCTTCCTTTGTAAACAAAAAATAAACAAATAAGATCACATTTTAACTAGTTTGCATGTCTCAATGTAAACTTTGTATACCATTTGATTATTTTGGAATTGGAAAATAAAATAAAAAGAAACAACAAATAGGCTGCCTTGTTGAAAGAAATTCACTTTTTTTAAGTGCATATTCCTTTTATATGTGGTATGAGGCAAATGGCTAGTTGGCAAATCAATTAGTCATTAAAAGTAAGAGAACAATTATAATTGTTTCTTAGTGACAGTGGGTTTCAATGTGGATCCTCGAACCCAAACAAGTAATTCAGGAATAAAAGTTGCAAATGTTAATGAAGAATCTTTCTTTTCTTTTTTTCTAACGAATAATTTCTTTAATGTAGGGTTATGTTAAATCTATTTGTGTACGATAAATTTTAGATATGGAAATACTCACAAATTATATGTATTAATTAAAAATTACGTAACACTAAGAGGATTCAAAATTAAGGCAAATCATTTCCCAATGGATTACTTGGGCTGATTAAACCTTTTTTTCTTCTTTCTTTTTCTATTTTTAGCAAAGGTTACATATTTGTAATACCATGTTTTTGTTAATGATTAATTTGCAGTAGTAATAGAAGGCAATGGACCCTATTGAGGAACAAAGTAAATTACACTACCACAAATTTGATGGAGGAAAAACAATTATTCCAAAAGTATCAATGCCATTAACACACAGCTAGCAAAGGATTTGACACTTGAGTAGTTAATAATGTGGTCCATTATTATTTACTGGCGAATTTTTTTTTTTTTTTAATGGTAAGGAGGTCTAGAACTTGGGGTGACTGGCCCGTTTCGAGATTCATTTTGATAATTCGAACCGTTCACATTTTAGAGTATATCAAGTAGAATATACTTACAAAAAATTAAGTAACTTGATTTTTTGTAAGTATGTTCTATTTGATATACTCTAAAATATGAGTGGTTTTGATCATTCAAATAGGCTCGAAATGGGCCCATTTAGTTGCACAGCAGTGGTTGTTGTGCCCATTCGAAGGTCTATAGTCAAAGATTTAAAATATCCATTTCAGAAAAACACTATTTAGCAACACAATAATGAATGCAATACAAAAGGAAAAGTCAAGAACAAAATTCAGACCTTAATATGAATGTCTTAAATATTTTAAAAACAAATAAATAAAAACTAAAAGTGATTTTGGATCATAAATTTATTTTTTTTGGATGAAAAATACTTGGTGACTCGAATTTGTGTGGCCCAAATGGCTCGAATGTGTCAAAACGACGTCGTTTTGCATCCAAAATAACGTTGTTTTGAGATATTCGAGCCAAGAAAATCCGGGCTACCTAACATTGTTGTTTTTGGATTTACAAGGCCATAGGTCAATTTATTTATTTATTTTTGCTTGGATCCGTAAAGACAATCTTATCCCAAAATACCAAATTACCTTTGCTTTCAATGAGACCCTAAAAATAAAAATTGATTGAATATTGTTGCATGTAAAAGTT